TAATGCTTAGAGAACTTGAACTGTTGTCTATTTCTGTGCACAGAGGCAAAATTTTAGTATCTTGGTGTTTTCAAACTGGACTCTGAGTATATTCTGTAATCTGCCTCTGAAAAAAATGAATGTACTAAACCTTCCTGTCAGATGCCTGAAGTAAAAGTAGCTTGACAGACAATTTTTGGCCATCTATCATCAAACTGAAACAATACAGCAGGCCAGTAGCACTGGGAGATCCACCACTTGAATCAGTCTGTGCTTTTTCTTGAGGATGAGAGCAGATAGACAGTATGTTTTACACCAACTCACATTTGAAGCTTACTCAAAAGTTGTTATTAATAAAGTGTGAAGAAATGCAAATGCCCAGAAGAAATGCAATTGGCTTTGGTTTTTTTGTTTGCTTTGGTCTGGGTTGGTTTGGTTTGTCTTCTTCACCTGGGTTTGAATCTGATTTCTGCTTTACTTAATACCTTAAAATTTTTATGAAGCTTGTCTAAGGCATAGAGTGAAAAAATTCCAAGTGCCTTAGATATGTAATTAAATATTAGATGGTGAAGTAGCACAGAGATAAATAAGGGACTGGACTATCTGTTATCTGAGGTGAGGCAGTGAGAAATTCCACTTGGGGTAGAGTCAGGGAGATCTTACCAATATGCATAAATGCCTGAGAATGGAAAGTAAAGAAGAGAGACAATCTCCTCTCAGTGGTACCCAGTGACAGGACAAGAGGCAATAGGTACAAATTAAAATCCATGAAAATCCATCTGAACATGGTAAGACAGTTTTTTGCTGTGAAGGTGACCAAAAATTGGCACAGGTTGACCACAGAAGTTGTGGAATCTTATCTTTGGAGGTATTCAAACCCTGACTGGACATATTTCCAGGCAAACAACTGTAGGTGGCCCTTCTTGAATAGGAGTGTTGGACAAGATGACCTCCAGAGGTCACTTCTGACCTAAACCTCTGTCGTCCTCAGCAAAGGCAGTTGAGGAGCACCTAGACAGGCACAATGTAATGTAGGTGTGTCATGAGAACAAACGTAGGGATTTTGTGTTTGAGGATGGGAAAGGCACCAGACTGACATCCAGTCCTAGGCATTCAAAGTTTTTAGTTTTCTTTGCAGTGTCCCAATTCCATATATATGGGGTTTTTTTCCTAACCAGAGCAGTGTATGTATAATATGTAAGCTGGAGCTGCTAATACCATCTGTTTGCGTTATTCTGTTGTTCCTCTGACTTTTATGACTATTGAAGCTGCTGGCAGTGAATTGTCAGGTGTCTATGTGCTGAGTTTGCATGGGTAATTTAGGAACCTTTGTCTGAAAAATTGGCTTATAATAGTTCGGTAGTTGTACAAAGTCTATAGGAGCTCCAAAAATTCCTATTATACTAATAGAAGGTTACAAGAAACAGAGGTTAAACACTGGTGGGTATGGAAGGCTTACCTACATGCCTATATTCATTACAACCATTTTCAGAAAATTGCAGAATCAGTTTTGAATGCTGGGGGCTTCTCTGATCCAAACTTCTCTCTCCAATGGAGGCACCATGGTATCTCAATTTTCTTATGTCCTAACAGTGGTGTTGTCATGCTCAGTTTTTGTAAAATCTCACTAAACTTATATTTTACTTATCAAATCACATTTCTGAAGACAAATACTGCAGCTCTTCATGTAGACCTCTTTTTTTCAGAAGACCAAAGTGAATCAAACAGGATGAGGGAACAATACAAATAGTAGAGAATAGTCTTAAGAGACAGCACAACATTAACAGCAGCTAAGCAAATATGAGTAATATTTATAGGAAGTACAAGACTAATTTAGTCCTAGTTATACTAACAGGAAATGAAATAAACATAAAATGTGAAAAATGAGAAGATTCGTAAGTAAGAAACTAGACTGGGCTTTTTATGTATGGAGATTAGAAAGCCGTTTAAGTTGCAAAACAACCAGCAGATATGATTGTTACCTTAAATGGACTAATGGAACTTTGCAGCAGTGGTAGATGTACCTGTTCGTTCTACATAAATCAAGAGAATTTAATATTAATAATATCTACTGGAGTCATGTAGATCAAGACAATTCCATGGTTCACAATAAGACAGTGAAGGAAGGATCTTCTTCAGCTGGTGGTCTCATGCACTCATGTGGAGCACAGGTCATCATAGCCTTCTTTGAAACTTAATCGTTACTCAGGGTAAATCAGGCAAGATTTTCTTATTTAGTAAGCTGGCTGCTCTGTTAATTTTTCTTATTCTTTTTCTTAGTTATTTTCTTTCTCTTTCATTCTCATGATTATAAGCTTTACAGATTTTGTATAAACATAACACATGCTTGTGTTATCAGTATTGAATTGTTCCTTAATTACTTGTTGATATTGTGCATCTAAAATTTTCCATATGAGAGAGAGCCCATTTTCTCCGGGGCAGGCTCCTTGAACTCCTGTGGTTTCCAGCCCAGGTCTGGAAGCCAACTTGCTTTGTGATGTACTTTGCTGTTGTCTCAGACTATCTCTGAATACATCAGTTCCACTGCATATGCAAAGCTTTGGAGGTATTTTCTGTCTTCATTGCTGAATTTGTTTCTTCTTCTGCTTCTTATAACTTTAAAATACTGAGTAATATGGGTTCTTTGGTATTCTATATAATTTATACCATAACTATGTCTGAGTGCCTATGTGGCAGTAAAACACAGTGTACAAATTGCTACACGAGATCCAGAAAGACAAGACCATCTTTGTTCTGAACAAATAACATATGAAAAATTTGAAGAATATTGGCTATTTTTTGACTAGAAATTAAATCGGCATATCAAAAATTGTGGTTATTAAATACTAGCCACCATTCTTTTATGAAAGGAAAGATGGGAAAGCCCTATTTCCTTTTTATTTATTTATTTTTTTAAGTACGGTCTCCATGCAATTGCATCCTTTTACACCACTCAGTTGAAAAGTTTACTAATTCAGTAATATATGTACTGTTTCACGTGCAGAGGTGTCTAGAGCCCGATGCAAGTGTCACTGCTCCAGCCACGTGAGCATAGTGGTACAAATTCAAAGAAGAGACAAAATGAAACTTGTGGGCTCAAGGGTTTTCAGCAACATCAGAAGTTTCAGAGATGTTGAAAATTATTGATTTTCTTATGAAAACCTATTACAGACATGACCCATTTATTCCATTTAGATGAAAACTGTTGACTGAGGAGTACCACACCTTGGGAAACCCAAGACAGTTTTGCATTCTAACTCTACTGTTTTCACCCAAGACCCTCTTCCATGAACAAATTAGGAGTAAGTGGCTCATCTTCTGTCCATATACCATGTGTGCTGAGGTTTACTGCACCTCACCTGGCAAGCCTTACCGGCATTCAGAGAATTTAAATACAGACCACAGTTCACACAAGCACTAAAATGCACATAGAACCTCAGGTCTCCGTCAACTTCACTTTCCAAAAGTCTAATCTCTCTTCCCCTCGTTGGTTCTTTTTGTCCATTGACCCCATCAGAACTTCAGTGCTGGTGAAGCTACTAAAATGTGTAGATGGTTCTGTGGAAAAATGCATTTCCCGGAGCTGTTACAGGTGGGATCCTTGAAGCTGAATGTGAGTCAAGCTTGGCCTGGAGGATGCATGCATGCTTGTTTGTGTAAATGGTCAGTAGGATCAAGGCTGGGGTGAGTTCATTACCCGGCTTGTCTCACCCTTCTTCCTTTCAGAACTGACAATGTCCCTGGCACACCAGTGGTGCCATAGAGGGACATACAGCTCTGCCACATGGTCCCTTTGAGTCATTTCAGTTGCAGTTGAAACTATTTTCTCTGATCTCTTTAAGACCTTCTGTGTTGCTCTTAAAACATTAAAAGAGTAAAAAACTCTGTCCTTGGTGAACATTTCAAGACCTTGTTTTTGCTTCCAAAAAAATGGTATCAGGGAAGTATTGTTGTGCTAGACCAAAACCTGCTTTCTTCCTCTTCTTGTATAAACCTCAGCCATTTTTGGGGATCTTGACATTTGGCTTACAATCCTCCTTGGCTTTAACAGCCTCACATTGCTGATGTTACTTTGTGATTTCCAAGTCTATCCTTGAAGTGATGTTCTTGCATGTCTGGAGGGATATCTGAGAATCCCTCAGCATTTGGCTATCTTGGAAACAGGCCAGAGACATAGACTGTCCAATCTCTGTTTAGCACCTCTGTAGAAGAATGATCATCTGATTCTATGGTTTTACTTTTACCACCTCTGTGATGGGTATGCTGGGATCTTGCACTGGGATTGTTTCCCAGTGCCTATGTCTCTCTGGAGCCCTCACTTTCACATTAGACAGCCTACTGCTCCTACTGGGCCAAATCCTGCCCTGGCAAAAAGTTAACTACAGATGTTAAAACAGGCAGCAAACACCCTTGCTATTACCTGCAGTGCCCCTGAAAAAAATGCTTCTCAAAAACTGAACGATGAAGTTTTAAAGGCAGTGCAGTCCAGCTTCCTTATAGATAATAGATTTTCTAATGCTTTTCAGAGTAAATTAACAAAGATTTTTTTTTCTCTTTGGACCATTACCGTTCAGAAAAGTGCTGCCATAATGTTTTGTGGGAAAATAAAAAAAAAACTCAAAAACATGCATTTGGTATATTTTGTTATGAAACCAAACTAACACTCAACTACCTTTTCCTCACTTGACCACCACTTAAATGAAAGAAGGCTTATCACATGATAGGGAAGTTCTTCTTTCTTGGAAACCTTGACCCTGCTGCTGGTAAATATGGAGATGCCGTTTAGAAAAACGTCATAGATGATTGTGGTCAAATTTATTGAAAGTGGAGCAAGATGTATAAAAAAGCACAGCAAGAACACTGATCAGCCACCACATGAGCAATAGGTTATCTACGTGAGCATCTTGGTGCAGAAGCTGCTTTGAGGGTTAACAAAATTAGGTTAACCTCTGTCATCTAAGAGTTTGGCTGTGTCACATATGCTGCTGTGACTGTAGAGGCACGGAGATTTGGGAGCAAAGATGAAAATATGTTCTATTTTCAGATCTGGGCATTTTTTATTTCTGCTTTGTCTTTTCACTGTGGAAGGCAAAAAGTCACCTACAGGAAAGCATACCTGCCGAAAAGAACTCCTCTCCCAGGTGACAGAGAACCTGTATATCAAGGCAACTAGTTTAAAATCATCTGTTCCTGTAAGTTGATCCCACCAGTCAAAAAGTTTATTTTATTTATAGATGCTTCTTTACCAGTTTCATTACTGAACTCCTGGAAACTTTAAGAAGTTGAATGATCTCTACAGTCCTAAGAGACAGGGTAATGTAGCTACTTCTTTTGTAAAGCCGAGAAAAAATGATGCATAGAAGATGCATAGAGAGGCTGGATGAGTTTGCCATGGAAGAAGTTTGTAGCTCGGCTAGGATTGGAACACAGATTTACTGAGTCCTCATCCTGATGAAGGATGATGAAGATTATTGTTATTACTACTAAGTTTTGTACAAACCAGACTTGAAATTCTGTCTCCCTTCTTCTGCTCAGGTTAATTAATACTAGCACATTATATTTTACAGAAGGATCTCATCAAGACCACAAGACTGCTTAAAAAGTCTACGAAAATGCTGTTTATGGTAAGATTTATACTGGTTTTCCAGTTTCTTATTTTGATTTTCCCTTTATCAATAGAGACAGGAGTATGTCATCAAAAGGAATTACAGGTGATGCAAAAATTGCTTGTGTGTAATTAGATGGACATTTATGAAAACCATATGCTTAATGAAGTCCTCTGAGGAAGAATGTTATTTCTATGCCACATATTCTCACATGAGGAGACAGTTGATCACAGTACAGGGAGAAAGAGGTGAATTTGGAAAGCCTATCTGGAGGCACTTCTTTCTAGGTAGTTGCAGTGGTGCTCTGTCAAGGAAGTTGGGGTGAGAGTATTTGTAGTGTCAGGTAGGAGTGTGTGTGCTCATGGTAGCATTTGCTCCTCCTGTGAGCCCCTGGCTGCACACCAGCCTCCCCAGCAATGCTCTCAAGCACCAGCCCATTCACATGAGAGCCAGGGCCGCAGCCACTGTCCCGGCAGCTGAAGCACTTTCTTTTGAGGGCATGCAGTACCATGGATAGCCCAGGGATGCTGCAGAGAGTCAGGACACCCAAGGAGCTGCTTTGAGCTTAGATCTCTGCAGGTGCACTGGAAGAGAGAGATCAGAGTTCTGAGGAAGACTCAGCAAGGGAGTGAGAAACAAACTTTGGGGTGTCTAATTGTAGGTGACTACAAGTGTATGAGATATTTTAGTTTTCTTCATATAGAGATCTAGTCAACAGGGCCAACTGAGTCAGTTTATCCTTAAGTACAGACTGACTGGTCTTCAGTGTCCCTTGGATTTCACTGATTACCTTGGGAGTGAAGGCTCCTCACCTGGCTGTGGGACCTATATGTGGGACATCTGCATTTGGGTGGTGTAATATGCAGTTGCATTACTCTTCCAATGGGAATTTCACACCTGATACTTGGTTCTATTGCCGAAAAAATAGGGCATGTATCAATTTGAATTAACTTTGGGTGCCCAAGAGAACCGCTGGGCCAGGCAGGTGTGACACAGGGTTGACAGGATGACTGGTCTCTTCAAGAGGAGCCACAGACCAGGCAGATGTGACACAGGGTTGACAGAATGACTGGTCTCTTCTGGAGTAGCAGTTGGGGGTGGGCAGGATGCCCTACAGCATATCAAATGGCATTGGACATGATGCGGAGGAATGGAACGATGATACCCACAGTGACTCCTACAATTTGAACAAGATGGTCTGACTTAACTTCTCAATTCATCTCCCATTTATTCTTTGTGTGTTAAGTACATTTATTGCTGTCATTTCTGTTCATGGTTGGTCATACCAATACTTCTGTGCCTGCCAGCACAACACCCTCCTGTCTTTCTTTCAGAAACTACAACTAGATTGAGCTATTTGTAGCTCAAAAAGGAAGCAGGACAAGGGGATACTACAGTACATAAAAATGGTTTTATTCATTGCACGCTTTCCAAACATGCATATTTCTGTGAGGCTGAAATTTTCAGCTGAAGTTGACTTGTGAGGTTTTCATTTGGAAACTCATCACTTGATTTGTTTTCAGACAAACTGCAGTGTTCGAGATCAGCTCCTCTCCTTCTATGTGAAAAATGTTTTCAGTCGTCTTGAGGTAGGAAGAGACAAGTTGAACATTATTAGTGCCTTCCAGGTCCTGCAAGTGAACATGGATGCCTGTGTGAGTATATTCCAGACAGCTAAACTAACTTTGTCCATCTGAAATGTTAGAGAAGGGCTCCCTCTCAGTTTTTCAGCAGATAGGTGATTCAGAGTCATATTGTGTCCCACACCACAGAGGGCCCAAATTCACGAGGGCCAGGGAAGTTTAACACTGCTCATTTCTTCCCAGAGTGAACCTGTGGGGAGTGGTCAAGGTGATGGAGATCCCATGGAGGAAAGCCATTTCCCTACTGATTATATCACCCTGTACTCCCCTCTCATCACCAAAGCTGCAAAGAGGAAGGGTGATCACAGAGAGAGATGTGGCTCCTCAAGTTTCCGTGATGTAACACTGGTGATGTTTTCCTTCTTCAACGCGTACTCACTGGAAGTGTGCAGCCTTTACTCATATGTCCTCTCTTCTCCTCCACACTGAATTTTGAAAGAACTGGTGAAAGAACTTACTCTCATGAGTAAGCAGGAACCACAATTAGGAAGCACATTGGAGCAGTTCCCCTGTGCCCAGATTTGGAGCAGGTTTTCAGGAAGTGATGCTGCCCACTGGCAAAATGTCCCCAGAGCGGACCAGGTGCAGTTAAAAGACACTTTTGCCTACACAAATACACATACTAGGTAGGATGCTAAGATGACGCCAATACTTGTCGATCATTTCTCATCTTATTTTTAGTGGTAGACCAATAACAACAGAGTGTGTCTTCAACTTACATATCCTATGGATGTTTCTTTAATTCCCTAAACCTGTAATCCTCACAAGTCACAGTGTCCCAAAAAGTGCAGCATGACTTAGGGTGAAATATAGCCATGGATATCCAGGCAAATGTCTATAGTGATTTTAAAAAGTGAGACCAGGATGAGAAGTCAATGAATTAGTGAAGTTTATTAATTAAAAGAATTTAAACTTTGTCTAATCTGAATTGTATGGTAGCATGAAAGAAAAGGACATTGATTCTATGCTCACACAAATATTTGCTATGCAAGAATAAACAGCTTCAGAGATCTCTTTGCAGAGTTGTAGCTCAGAAGCCAACTGGGATATTTGTATAACTGGGATATTTGTAAAAAGATTCAAATCCCAATGGGAGACAACTTTACCAGTTTTCAGGTTCTACATTTAAAACCATGCTAAACAATTACGATTTACAGCCATTATTCACAGCATTTATCATACTGCTGTGGTTATCTGTGTCTGTCAAAATTCCAGATAATGTTGTACTATAACTCCAGAATACTATAATATAATATAATTCCAGATGCTATAATATACTGAAAGAGATTTCATTCTTGTCTGGAAAAGCAATTACACTCCATGCAAGTGCTAGTACACACTGAGGAATTTAGACTGTCAACTGTGACTGAATTCAGAATATCAGTTATTCTAAAATACCACCAATGACTGTAGCTTGCTGGACAGCTTAGTAATACGTTTGTTTCTGTGCTGTATGGAGACAAAATGATGCAGATTTCTCAGAGTTCCTGTGTTCTTTTTCATAATTAGTGCCAGTGTTTTACCCAACACAAGTCTAAACATAACAACTTATGTTTCTGAATCTTAGAAAGTGCTGGTAGGAGACATAAGTCTCCCCTGGTAGTAGAAAAGCAGTAGGTATTTGAGAAATGACGGCTTGCCTTGATTTTCTAGGAGACATCTCATTTCTGGAAACTAACACTTGAATTCTTTGTATTAATTTATATTAATTTAAACCCAACAATAAAAAAAAAACATGTGAAAGAATAATAGAAACTGTGAATGGAATTAAAGTACTAGATCCTTTGCTAATACCAAGCTTAAGATTTCTCCATCATATTATTCCTCAATAAATTAGCACTCATTCACCCACCTACATAAGCTTTTTAATGGTTATCATGTAGTTGAGTTATAAGATTTTTATCTGAAGGGATTTCCACCATGACAATATACTTATGTAATGAATTTGTTACCTTTCAAGAATAAAGTTCTCTACATAATTAAGCATAACAGTGATATCTTTGTATATATATATCCACCCTATACTCTCACAAACTCAGGCTGTAATTCAGCCAGCTAGAGGCATGCATGCTATTTAAATATCTTAACAATATTTGTCTCCAAACCACTTTCAAATACTTTTACATTTTTTAAAATGTTTGCTTTTATTTTCACTTTCATCATGTGACATGCCTTTAGGAAGCACAAAAGGTACCTTGAAAATGTCTGTGCTCTTTTTAAAGTACTATGTGTGAGATAGAAAGGTCTGATCATCCATTTCAGTGGAGTCATCTCCTTCCATATGAGTTGAAGACCTTTGCCTTTTTCTTTTTCAAACATGTTGTCTTTGCTTGTAGATTGGAAAACACCTGGTTTTTCCATGTTTTTCCCCTGGAAGAATGTATCTTCCTCTTTCAAAACCCACGGAGCTCATATTACCAATTTTTTGTGTTGTGAACTCAACTTGGCAGGAAGCATGCAGTTAAAAGAATACATTTGAAGTAGAGGGAGAAGTGGAAATGATGCTGAGTTCACACATTTTACTGGTAGCCCTATAGTGCCACACTGTGGGTTCGATTCTTCTTCATCACTATTTCTTTACATCAGCATCTTTGGATTTCTTTTCATCCTTCAGCTTCCATGTGCTCCATCCACAAGGTTAACTTCTGCAGTCAAAAAATTAAGGAGAATGTTTTTTAAGGTAAGAACAGGAGGCACTGGCTCCCCTCTGTGCTGTTCCAGGGCTGTAGGTAGTTTTTTTTCTAATGCCTTTATCTTCTCAACAGCTCGGAGATAAGGGAATCTACAAGGCCATACATGAGCTGGACATTCTCCTTCCCTGGATTCAGGCCTACATACAAACCATCGTATGAAGAATGAGGAGGTGACAGACAACATGCTGCTGCTGTGCTAAAAACAGATCCTTACCCAAAAGGCCTGAAAATGAATCAAGAGTCAGATGTGTAATGTATCTGTCAGTAACTGCATCCCATGGAAGGAGATTCTCTGTAACACCAGCAGCATAAAGAGGGATTTTCATGGATTTTCACAGTTAGCCTGGCATAGCAGCTATGCCTGCTCTGCCTCTGGAGCAGCTACAGCATGCTGCTGTCCTTCTCATCCTGCCTGCCTGCCTACCAGCTGCCACACAGGCAGCGCCCGAACACATCACACCAGCTTAAGTAAGAATCTGCTACCCTAAGGATCAGACACAATGTCCCATGTGCCATGGGCATGATCTAGACGTGCCATGGGCATGATCTAGGCATGCCTTGTGTCACCCTGCGTGAATAGAGTTCAAATAAATGAGGAACAGTTTTGAAAATCCCTCCCCTAAGCTATATTTCTTTTGGGTTTTTTTGTTGTAGATATATAACAGTATACCCAAGCCATTCTATATAAAAATAAGAAAAATAATTACATACTACTTATCTTTATTATTAATTTAAGATAATAATTGTTCCCTAATAAACATACACCAATTAATGTAAAAATTTTGGTCGAGGTTTCATGCATGGCCTTCAGATGTCACATGATCTACATGAGATCAGACATGCAGAAAACACAGTAAATGGATTGGTTTGACTAGGATTGTAAAATGTTTTAAGAGAGATTTACGGAAGTTGATGATAGTGGTTTCCAAAATGTCTCTCATATAGTACAGAATGAAGATGGATTTCTAATTTTCTCACATTTTTGAATATTTACCGGGCTTATGAACATATTCCCAAATCTGTATGTTTGGCACTTCCATGGGGCTGAGATTCTGCAAAATTCCAAATCTCATAGTTCTATTATGTAAGGAGCGTTGATGTCAGTGTGCTGACATCAACAAACCTGTGCCAGTTCCTCTTCTGCATTGTGGCCTTCTGCAGCCAAGGGGTGTTGGCTGATTTCTGACAGGTGGTCTTTTGATTCCAAGGTCCAATTAAATGTGCTCCCTAACTGGGCTATGATCAGAACACCTTCATTTTCATTCCTTCAGGGACCATTCAGAAACTCTCTGCGGTTGACGCACCTGTGGTAGCTAGAGCAGTAGGAGACAGCCTAGCTATTCCCACTCCTAACTCCTGAAAGGGCCACCACTGCTGCCAATGGGCTGTTGATTTTCATTCACGTGAGTTGTTAGTGGCTGGTGAGGGTTTAGGAGAGAGAAGAACATCATCTCTTATTTAAACTGGCAAATCACTACCCAGCGTCGTGGAGGGGAGAAAGGGGAAAGCTATGAGTAAATCCAGCTTATGACCTGCTTCTGTCGCCAGCCTGTATTCTAGCAGTTCCTTGCAACCCCACCTCACCTCTCCTTGTCTGCAAACTGTGTGTGACTTGTCCTTTCTGATGCCTCATAAACTGCTTCAGGTTACTTTGACGTCAAAGAATCATATTAGTTACGTGTTGAAATATAGGACAAAGTACAATGGTGGATGCTCTTTGGAAATGCTTTCTGACTGACTGTGGTACTGGGACAAGCAAAAATAGTGTGCACTTCATGTACTCAGCGTATTCCAGAGTTCAGCAGTCAGTGCTGTGGCATTTCTACACATCTTTTGCAGGGGCCCCTTGATGTCTCTGTGTTGATTTCAGTCATCACATATTAAATATCTCAGTTCAGGGGACCTGACTAGACACACCTGTTAATGCATTGGGATAAACACTGGAGATGGTTTGGTCTAACACTTATATAAAGAACTGTACATACGTGCTAGTTTCTGTTTGTTGAACATTTTCTTCTTTTACCATGTTTTCACCTGATTATGTATATCCCACAGGTTTGATAAAAAAAAGGGCTGACTCAAAGAACTCTAAAAGGAGGAAAACATCATACAATCTCTGATATAGACAATTCTCAGGTAAATTCCATTGGTTGTTGCTCTTCTGAAGATGGGAAATCAGTTATGCAGACAAAAGGAAATAGGATGCATGAATAAACCAATGTTACACCTCACATAACGAGTCAGATAGTGACTGAAATCTTCTCTATGCAGAGTTAATATTTTTTTTAGCTATATGATTTTCACATCCTCTTTGATCTCCATGTTCCTCAGACACTGACTTAAAAGGACAGAGCTTGGGAATAGGCTGCCAGGTGCCCATGGCAGAAGTAGAAGAGAAGAGTAAGAATATTTTGTCAAATAAATTCAGTTATAAACTGTCCTATAAAAGCTAGTCAGTAAATAATTCACAAACCCCCCACAATTAAAAGAAAAAAAAAAAGGAACTCAACCAAAGAGTAACATATAATCTACTAAAATTGTTCCTTGGCGCTAAAAATTTAAACCTTTTCCTTTTGAAGGATAATAGAGATGCCTAACAAAAATGTTCTTATGCATATATGTTCTTACTCCCTGAGGCAACAAACGTAATGTCCCGCCCTACCAGTGATTTTTAAATTTTAGAGGGACCTGCCAATCCACAACATACACAGACTAATATATAAAAGGCACAGGTGAGGAGATAAAAATACCAGCTCCAACTGAATGCCTTGCATGTTTAGCAATGAGACACAGATTTACTCATCTGTTTTATAAGGTGTTATATTGTTTCATTATTTGTATTTTATTACTAGAGGGAGTTGCAGTATATGGCACACTAAGTTTTGTTGCAGTACCTTACCAGGCAACTGTATTTTATTTGAACAAACTATACTATAAACAAAAGTCTGAACATAACATTCCTGGCTCTGAGGAATCATTTCCAAATTATTTAGATCTTATTGCATTTCCTTTTTTTGGTGATTTGAAATTCTCTCCTTTACACAGTAAGATGAGACCTAGGAGGTCTCATCTTACCAAAACACTTTTCTGACTCACTCTTCTAGAATTCATGAAGCCGATTTTTGCCAAAATAGCACATTCAGGGAGAAGAAACAGAAAAAGCTGGCCCAGTGCTTTAATTAACAGGAGACCGCCAAGACAGGCCTTGGCACATACAGGACACCACTGCCCTAAAGTGAAGGGCCCATCCTGGCCACGCATGGCTGGAGCAGGAGCCTGAATGTTTCCCATGGTGTGACGATTGTTCCAAGGTGAGCTGGGCAGCAGGGGAACCCTGGGAAAGGAAGGTATGGCTGCCTGAGTGTATATTCACTTGCTCACCCATAAGAGGATAATTCCATGATTTCAAATGCTTGTCCTGCAGACAAACAAGTACATTGTAGTCCCGCTGTCCTGTGGAGTCAATATTCAACATCGGCTTGCAAATGTCAGGGTAAATGTCTAACTAATAGAAGGAGATTGCTACACAAAATAATTATTTTCAATTGAAAACAAAATGGTTAATTAGATAGACAGTGATAAAGGTTATACATTTAATGTCATGGTCTTTTTTGAGCATGTAATTTAATTTTCAGTCAACACAATGTCCTTTTTCATGGATTTATTCACACAACTCACCCATTTATTTGTGAAGTTTAGGTCAGCTCTTGGTTTTAATGCTTTTTGTCCAAACTCTGGTGTATGGAAGAGAAAATTCACCATGTGTATGGTTTCACCAGCCTTCATCAGACATCACTGTCTAGTCATTGCCACCGTCAGTGAGCAGTAGCTGGGCTCTGGGGGCCCCTATGGCTGAAGGCACTGCTTCTTCTCTGTCACAGAAGAGAGCCAGTGACTCCTGCAAACAGGAAAAACTGCCACATTTAATTGAGAGGGTCCATGGGCAATGGTTTCCAGTGATTTAGGTTGCCAAAGATTTTTCTTGTGGAAATTTTGCTGAGCTACCACATCCAGTCAGTGGGTGACACACGAAGAGACAGATGAACTTTGAAAAGGGCAAGTAACAACTTCGTCACTGTGCTGCATGCATGGAGGTCAGCCCTGCAGTGAGTATGGGCAATCAGCAGACCTCCTGCAGCAGGGTTTGAGGTCAGGCTGCAGCAAGGCTCAGGCCAGTTGCCTCCACTCATCTGACAAAGAAATCAAGTTATTTTATGACATAAAAGCTCAGGACTTGTGTATTTTAGCCCTCATTTTCCATATGGCTTAGGACACTTTCCACTCTTAGTCACCTTGTCTATAAAATGAGAGCACTTCTGGACATGATGCATCCCTTCATGCAGTAATGAAAATCACATTTCCAAACCAATTAAACACTCCTGAATGAAAGGCAAAAATAGCATCCGCAAAATAAAATTCTTGCGATAAGTGACACATGCCATATGCAGGCTACCAGCAATAAATACTGTGTTGCATCTTCGCAAGAACATAGGAAAATAATTCCTATTAAAGACCTTTAACAGACAAGTCAAAGTCATAAGTACGGAAGAAAGTTTCTTGCTTTTTACGACTGGACAAGCGAAGGAGCACATTTTAATTCTACTGATGAGACTCTAGGTGTCACTCTTCGAAAACAAGACTCATGTTGGTCTCAGTTTACTTCTGACTTCAGTTGACGGAGAAAGTGTTAGAGCATATTTCAAAGGTAGTTTCCTTGGACAGAAACTGAGATTAGAAAGAGTTGGATTAGAAAGATTGAATTATTTAAATTCAATTCCCACAAACATAGAATTGAAATTAAAAATTAAGGGGAAGAAAGACGGGCATATAGCCAAAGACTAGGTTTATAAACCAGCTATGAATTCGGTCTATAGTTTAACTACAGAATTCTGACCATAGACAAGTTCCTTTATTAAAGTACTGTTCTCCTTTGGCAAATGGGAAAATTGTCTATCAATTTATAGCCCAAGGCAATTTATCTTTGCTTAGCATACAGAAATCCTTAGAAGGAAATTAATGCCCATGTAGTGTTATTTGTTGTCACTTTTGCTTAATGTGGCTTGTCTTATCACAGTGTTTTGGTCTTTTTGAAGCAGTGATTCTTAGTACACGGAAAAAAGAGGTATTTTATGACTGTTACTGCAAAAGCAAGCATGAAA